TCCTGGTCATTGCATGCAAGATACTGTATCCATGCTCTCATTGTTATCTGGGTGGGAATCAGACCCCCACTCACAGCAGGGGTTGATTGATGATGTGCTGCCATATAAATAACATATCTTGCCCTGTTAATAAGTGTGTCTTGCTTTGCCTCTGGATAACACCAAGCAGGAGATGCTACCAGTAGTGTGGTATTCCCTTGTTCTGCACAGTGATAATTTTAATCTCTGAATTTATATGAAGATGCTTAGACAGGAGCTGGAAGACTTAATAAGGAAAACTGAGCTCGTATTCTGTGAGACCTCCTCTGTCCACAGAGGTCAGTAACTGTCCCAGTGTTCTGTTAGGCAGAAGGTCTTATCACTAGGATTATGTACTGGAAGACCAATTAAAGAGTCTGAAACAAAGCTCATGTCAGATAACCTGCTGTCTAAAGTAAAAATTTATAGTTTTCTGAAACTGCTTCAGCTTAAATTAATACCTTTGAGGTCTAAGGATCATTCGTCTTAACCAAGCAAAATTCTTTACAAAGAGAAACTTCTAAGTTTGCCCCAAAAGTCAGCTTAGAAAGAGAATGGCTTTTTCTTCTTTATCTGAAACTATGGCTAGCCCTATACCTGGTATGCGCTGTAGACCAAAACTTAAAGTAATTTATCCTCTATACATCCAGTGCCTTGAGGAGTACTAATGGGACAGGGAGGTAATATCTGGACTCAAACATTCCAAAAATAGAGCCAAACTGTCTAGCTTAGACATGTCCAGACAGAGCCCTGTTTGCTTCCCCTTCAGTAAGGGCTCTGCCTGACCTGTAAGGAAGATTTTTCTTCCACATTACAGAAAAAAACACCAACAGGTAGAAGAGATGCATCACGCAGATGTAGGCTATACCAAGACACTGCCGCCTTGTGCATTTGCTCAAATCAATAGGAATTGCTCTGGGAGAGGAGTAAGAAACAGTTATTGACCACTGTTTTTCCATTCTAATTAAAAAAAAAAAATAAATAAACCCACAAAACAAAGTGTATCTAAGTTAATAAGAAGGTGTCCTCCAACTGGTCTGTGCCTTGGTCTAACCTGTTTAGTATGATTAATCAGACTGATGTTCATACTCCATTGTCCAAGTGGTGTGAGCAACTAGTCTGAGAGATGAACAGTTTTGGAGCCTGTATCTTCCTTCCCCATAAGAACACGTTACCTTAAAAGCCTGCCTGTTTAAAATGTATTAAAATATGCCCAAATATATTTTTCAGGGCATAAAACAGACTCCTTTGTTGGACTTATGGGCAAAAGATCTTTAAATTCTGGTATGTATATGACTAAATCTGGTACTCGGTGGTATACAGCCTCTTCATTCTGTTGCCTGTTCGTTGTCTCCCAGCAGATGGAAGAAGCAGTCTTTATATAGTGTAGATCCAGGGTTCTCTGAAAAAGGCTCAGGATTTTCTTGGTTAAGAAAGATGTTTCAAGGTCTATTTCACTGCAATGCTCAAGATGATCAGGCTGGTTTGAGCAGCTGGCAAAGTAGAAGTCACCAGGGTGTTTCCCTTATTGTCCTGTCCTTGCCAGCAGCATGTTTGCCTGAAAATGTAAGGCTAATTTAAGCTTGTGATCCTAATGCAGATGTCCCCAGGTAAAGGATTATTCTCTTCATCTCTGGAGATGATTATTCGCCAAACTTGGAGCAGAAGGTGGAAGAGCAGAGGTCTGCCATTAACACCACCTCATTCTGCAGGTCTAGCTGTTAAACATTCCCAGCCTCTTCCAGCTTTTCACTTTTCCTAAAAAAAAAAAACAAAAAACAAACAAAAAACAAAACAAAAAAAAAAAAACCCAAACAAAAAAAAAACAACTAAAAAACAAACCAACCAAAACTGGACACCCAACCCAGGGAATGAGCATTTTAAGCTTTAAACTGGAACTGTGATTTTGTGTTATCTTCCCATAGCATCCATACAGGGCAGAATCCCCCCTCATGTGCACAAACCCTGTGGGTAACATCATACATTCCTATATAGGGGAGAAGCTATAGGGCTGTACGGAGGAAAACCCTCACTATGAGGCATAAAATGTCAGTTAATTTCCCAGAATAGGAATTAAAAAAAAGTTAAAAATCCCTAATATGTATTTCATGTCTCTGAAATAGTTCTCACCATTTTGTTAAATGGATGATAAAAGTTAAATTACTAGCTGACACCTTTATATTATGTGGATACACACTGTGATCTATATTCTGCAATTATAGTTGTCAGTAACTTTTATTTTCAATTAAACCCTGTTCAGACTAGTAATATTGCTCTCTGCATCATCTTGCAAATTGCTATGTATCATGAATAATTTTGTACAATTTTATCTGTGGTGGCAATAGTTATTAAATGCAAAATACCTGTAAATATATCTGCTGTAACAAAAGTAAATAGCCTGGAAGAAATAAATTGGGTTTGGTTTCCACTGGGATTACATCTACATTAATATGAGAATGTAAAATACAGAAGATCTTTTAAAAAGGCAAAGATTTTATTGCTCTGATTTAAAAAATGCTGGTATAGTCAGGATACTTTTGTGTGGTTTGTATAACGAAGGGGAATAATGAAGTTTTACCCTGTCAGGCTATGTAATACCTGCCTGACAGGTGCAACTAGAATTCACTGCTTTTCTGCCCCCAAATCCCTGAGACGAAAATGGTAACAAGTTTGTTGTGCTCCTCTGGAGCAAAAAATAGGTCCTAAGGATGCATAAGCAAGCAAGATCAGGAGTACATGCGAGGACTGTCCTTGCTTCTCGCTACTGGAATATATTTAACTGGGCAGGACCTTTTCTTGGTGCCATGGTTTTTTTCTGCAGAAAGCCCTTGAGTGCCCTGGCAATGTGTAGGAGCTTATGGCACCCTGCTGATGGGTGTGAGTGTGGTGCTGATTTAAAGCCTCGTGTGACAAAGCAGGGCACTGGTATGCTGGTGTCCTAGTCCTGGGGTCTGACACTGTGTCCCAAGCTGTGCAGTCTGCCAGATGAACCTTCCAGGTAGAAGCTAGGAAACAGTCACATGTACAGTAAAGATACTGTAACAATCCATACTGAGGAAGCTCAACTCATTTTGCATTTATCCTGGTGAAAACTGAAATCTTGTTGATGTAAACCTGTTGCTAATCTAAAAATTCCAGCTCCCTGCAGGATGCAGTGCTGAATCCCCCCAAAACTAGCTATGTGTTTGCATGTAATGGCTAGGCATACATAAGTTCTGTGAAAGCAATTGTCCCTTTGGGTGCAGGCAAAGATGACTGGTGACCAGCTACATCACCTGATGGTGAGGCTTTGCCCAAGAAAGCCTCTCTGGAATTCCTCCTCATTTTAAAAGAACAAAAAGGAGAAATGTACTGCTACTAAATGTTAAATATATTCCTGAAGGCTATTTTAGGCTGCAGTTAGTCCACTGCAGGGTATTCTGAGGTTTGCTTAGCTTCTGCTGCAGATTCTAGTAAAAGGTATCACTGTTTGCAGGGCTTGGGGACAGGGAGGGTTTAAACTTGGCAAAGAGCTGACTGTGCAGGACAGAAGGTGGACATGTCAATGCAGAAAGGTTCTACCCTTAAACTGAGCACTTGGATCCCATCAGTTAGATGGTTTACTGGGA